CCCACCCTCACTCAACATCGAACAGTCATTATTTTCTAATAAGTTGACCTTGTACGCATATATTGAACAACGAAAGAAAAAAAAAACAACACATATATAGCAGGCACCGTAGCAGACCCTTAAAATATAGGACCATATGTCTACGTAATATATGAATAAATTTCAAAACTCCATGTAAATACACGAAATTTTGAAATTTGTTCATAAATTACGTAGACATACGGTCCTATATTTTAAGGGTCTGCTACGATGCCTGATATATAGTCGTCCGCCATGAAAGGCGTATTGATCAACTATCTGTATATATTTATATGTATATATATAAGTGTCTTTTTCATTTGTCGTCTTCTTTCACGTCCTCAATCGCTCTATCGTTCTATTTTTCTAACATCATTTATATGAGTCAAAAAGTTCCCACAGGAACAAATTCACATGTAAGTAAATCTACTTTCCTTTACAGTTCCAATTTAGACGGTTCAATACAAAAAAAAACAATACTATGAAACATATTTTATTTACTTCGCTTTAATTTTTCCTTGTCTTAAAGTTCAATCTTTTGCTCTCTAAGACTGAAATTAGAGTATATATTGAGTTCATCGTTTAAAATCATTCAGTTAATGGCTTGAGTGACCTATCTCGCTCAATATAATACGCAACGATCTCATACTCTCACAACACCCTAACATATAAAAAGCATGCCCTATGTAGAAGAATTTTGCTGTAAATGTATCGTTGATAGGACTCAAGTATATTAACAGATGAACATATAATAGAGTTTGTACATACATTATGTCCTAAACGGTGAGGGTTACTGAGAAGTGACAAATGATTATAGGGATTTAGAGATCTGCTGATGTCATCAGTGAAAAAGTTTTGAGATTTTTATGAACTAAGAGTATAAATAAAACTATTGAGAAGTTTGCTATCAGAGTAGCTTCATCTTTATTCATATGTTCATAGCTTTTAATTTTGTTATACATTACACAAGATAACCAAACTATACTTCGAGACACAGCCATTGTAAACTATCCAACAATCAAACTCACGAGGGAACATTCCCAAGTGTCACATCGCTTTTGAGTGGAGATTATGAGCATCATATAGGTCCTAATTCAAGGGGGAAACAGCGGACTTTTGGACTTGAAGTTACTTCGAGCTACTTTAAGCTACTTCAAGTTACTTTCAGCTACTTGAAGTAGCTTACTTTGAAGTACTTTTTAACTTCAAATTTACTTGAAGTTACTTTAAGCTACTTGTTCCTACTTTGAGCTACTTGAGTAGTACTTTAAACTACTTCAAGTAGCCTACTTTGCCGTACTTTAGCATACTTTTCTACTTCAAGTACGCTGTTTCCCCCTTGTCCTAATTATCTATGTATATCCTGAAAAAAGTTTGTTCTGCTGACTTATTCGTGCCGAGATATAGCATTTTAAAGATATTCTTAAAAATGGAAGCCGTGGTGCCCCTCAGGAATATAAAAAAAACTAATTTTCTAGTTTCGGTATAAAACTTTCCATAAAGATAGATCTCGATCAGCATAGTTTATTGTGAAAATTTCAAATCATTTGGTTTGCTTCTATTCGGAAATATGAATATCGAATGTGACATGTATAAGTGATTGTATGTTATTTTTCGCCAAATCATATCCAGATTTTAAGAAATCGAATAAATTAGAAAAAAGTACGTTCTGGTAGGTGCTGATTTAAACAAGATCATGCAGAGTGAAAAATGGATGAGCGCTAGTGAAGTGACAGTAAAAGAACAGTGATTTGACTGTTTTCGCAACATCATATTCCAACATTTGAGCCATTTTAATCACTCGTATGACCAAAGGCGCTAAAAACTCATTCTAGAGACATACAAGCGTTGGGAGTCATGAAACTATGACATGTAATGACATGGGTAACGGAACAACTTTCAAAGATCTAACAAGATGCATTGATCTAAAATGTGAACAGCTCCATATTGGATTGATTCTCTTATATCATTCTTGTTTTCTATAGAGCGGTGATGAACATGATGTTCGTAAACATGATATTCGTAAACATGATGTTCGTAAACATGATATTCGTAAACATGATGTTCGTAAACATGCAGACGTACGTCCAGAACAAAGATGTTATCATCGCTCAAAAGAACATTCACCATCTAATGAAGCACAAGTGCCAAACAGTCAGTAAATCTGATTTTAATATATTATCGTGACTTTTTTTATTATTTATATTTAGGTGTTGTGATAATGCCAGCTTGGTTGCACTTAGTCGCGTTATTCGGTGCGTTGCTATTGGGTTTTTTTTGGGAAAATTTGGTTAAACTGATGAAGAACTTTTATATAATTAACTTTTTTTTTGTGATTCATTACATTGTGTCTTGTATTAGTTTATTTTTTTTTGTCATCATTCTCTTCTTTCATCTCAGTACATTAAACTTTAAAAAGATTCTGAATTCATTGATGAAAAGAAAGAAAAACTGATTAGAATAAATATCTGAAGTTGGTAGAGATTTTGTTGTAATTAATGTTTTTTTTTTAAATATTGAGAAGTTTTAACCCTAAGATGTGTTGTGATTCATTGACCCAGCCTATACAATTTCTCTCATGTGCCTCTATGATGATGTCTATATTTTTCCTTCACTTATTGAATACGTTTAATTGGTTACTAGACAAGTAGCGTTCTTCGACATTCCATTCACTTTTTCCCTAGACCTAAAAAAATTCATGTCCACTTGTGTTATTATATGATCAAAATATTACCCAATAAAGTACTATATGTTTATAAGAACTTAATTTTTTTTAATTACAGTTGAATTATTCAATATAACGAAAAAAAGAAAAAAACTTATGAAAGAAGATGAATATATATGGATGAATTGCAACTTTATTGTACCGTTCGTAGTTCCATATGTAAAACTTTAATAACTTCAGTTCCTCTTGGCCAATCTCTATGAAAATTTCGGAGTATGCTGTCGTAGTTGATGCTCACTACCACACAAAAAATCACGAACTTATCATTAGCCTATCCCGAGATACTGCATACACAAGGTTAAAATGGCTGATTTCTACTGCCACCTATGGACAGAAAATGACCCATCACTAATTGGTTTCTTGTCATTTGAATTTTGAGAGTTTTTGACATTTACAGTGGACAGTGTATACATCATGGATATGAGACTGGCTAGTTCTTTCATCGCAGTTTATGTTATATTTTTTTCCGAATATCAGGTGTACCGTCAATGGTCAATATGGTGTCACACGAGATTTAAAAACGCCTTTGCTATATAACAAAGCATTCAAAATTTGTCAGATTGGTTTTGAATGAAAGCTTATCAGTGGGGAATAAAACTACCAAAGATGATTCGAAAGTTTTACTTATTCTTATTAAGAAAGGGACATTAAATAAAATTTGAAAATATAGTTGTCACACTAAATGTCACACGAGATTTCATACTTTGTGTGTTGTATTAACTCTTGTAAATTAAGGCATATTGAGCTGAAATTTTTATCATTTTATTTGTTAGTTGTGGCCAGATATTGCTGAAAATATCACGGTTAGAAAATGCCCCTTTCGCATAATAGAGAGGAAAATAGTGTAAAAATGTCACACGAGATTGTTGGCAAACTGTCACACGAGATTTTTTCAAAAAAGTGCCAGATGAGATTTTTATGTGGATAACTATCCAGTAACTGAGATTAAGGTGAATAAAGGGCATATTAGTCGCTTTCATGTTTAAGTGACTATCACTACTCACGCAAACTAATTCTAACACATTCCTCACGAGTTAATAAATTTGCTGTGAAAGATGCGTATACACGATCTATACTCCATTTAACAGTGGTAGTCGGGAAAATTTATTCATATCCATCTCTCATATAGTGTAGTAAGATGCACTACTCCCAATCTCTAAAATCCGAAATTTTTTTTTCATCGATTTTCTTCTCAAAACGGTACAATAAAGTTGCAATTCATCCATATATATATATGTAATGTACAGAATGATTTTGAACATTGTATGTGGCAGAGAGTTGTTTGATCCTTTCTTTTTATTTTTAATATGATTTTTTATTATTTACACACATTTATATATAGTAAATTAGTTTTGTTAATCATTTAAGGTTTTTATTTATCATTATTAATTCTTATAATGATTTTGTTTACAAATCAAATTTTTTTATCTCAAAATTGTTATAATAAAAAAAAGACAAAATTTTTTAACCCTTTGGCTCCCGGCTTTTTTCCGAAAATTAAAGTTTTTAAAAGTAATGTTTAAATATAATTTTTATTTTTCTACAAAGAGGTTACATTTCTATGTTAGGAAAACATTAATAATTCTCCTTTTTATGATAACCTTTGAAGCAATCAACCATACATAGAGACATATTGCAGTCAAGACATGTATATCGTGTACCGCATCGAAGATTATGAATGAGCAAACCATACATTCCCGCCAAGACCGTTATATATATATACTATGGTTTAGAAACAGAAAGAATTTATTGGATTTTATAGAAGAAGCAGAACTAACTAGAATTTTATAGAAAGATAGAAACTCAATAGACAGTATTAGAGAGAATAATCCATAATAATTACAAAGAAAAGAACAAAAGTGATTGCACTGCAACATACCAGGATGATAGACAATATAGATGGAATGTATATGGGTAAAAATATCGAGCAGAGACAGAAGAAAGAAGAAATATGCTCTTATGACACTATCTAACAAACGATAAAAAGCTTTTCTAAACGGTTACAAAAATATATTATTAGTGCCTTTCTTCAATAAAGGTGTTTGCACACATATCTGTGTTGCCGGGAGCGAAAGGGTTAAAAACTTGGCCAGTGACTCGGCAAAAACTTTTCAGAAAAAACACGTATTGTAGATTCGACACAGTTTCATTTCATCTTTTAAACTGTGTGGGTGTGGATGGCTGTGAGTGTGAGTGAGCGTCTGGGTCTGGGTGTCAATGTAGGTGCGGGTATAATCAAGAGAAGATATACACCCAATATGTATGTTCAAAATCTCAAGTATTTATGCAGAAATTTAACGTTCACATTTAAATATGGAAAAAATCAGACAGTTAAGCCTCCTTTTCAAAAATCTATCTTGGGCCAGAAACGTTCAAATCGCATGAAGTTTTCAGAACATTTTGGAACGGTAGTGAGGAGGTTATGGCGAACTTTTCAGCGTTCTATCATGATGTTTTAAAAGAAAATGAGGCAATTTCTAGAAAAATACTGTAGTAGGATCAATATTTCTTGCAAAAGACTGTTAAAACCTAGTCTTTTTTTGATCATATACATTCTAAAAAAGTAAAAGTCTCTGCATCTTTCTTTTAAAAAAAATCTATTTTCTAAAAGGGGAGAGCATAAAACGAGTGATAAAAACAACTAGACGGAAGAAAAAATTTCATAAAAACAATATTATTATTCATTTTTTCTTTCTGCTATATTAGAAATAAACAAATATTTATACCAGAATGTGTGAATGCATTTTTCAAGGTATTCATCAAGGAAGCCTAACAAATGGTTCAACAATCATCATGTAATTCATGAAGATCAGTATTGTACAATATAATGATATCGTTTCAATCGTTTATCCATAGCATAATAATTAAAATAAACTCATTTCGTCTTTTATTCTCTTTGAAAAACTTGAAATTTCAAAATATACTGATTAGATATAACAAAAATATCATTAATATGAGATTTAAAGCAATGTTTTGGTATTAGATCTTCTCTAATATATATAATATGTTATATGCTGTTTAACTTGAATCAATTTCCCACTTCATATCAACAACGAATCCATCGTAGTATTTTTCTACAATTTTGTATGCTTCTTCTTTTTTCCTTTCAGATTCTTGAAATTTCCATGTACCTTTAGAAAATTCACAACCAATTCAGGGTGTGGGTGTGGCAGAGAAGAACTCAAACACTCACACATGCCATCAGGTCTGGTTTAGCCTCAAGAAGTGGATTGTAATGAGTCAAAGCGGATAGAAAAGGACGTATTATCGAAAGTGGAATGGTCAAAAACTCAGAGCCGGATGTATCACGATTCGTACGAAGACGATGTTGACCAGTAACACTAAAAACATAGTTGTTTCAGAATTCCGCTTAGAACATACAGAAAGCATACTACTGTAGTTATTCAAAAGCGAAATGATAGAATTCTTGTATTAATTTTATTCCTTAAAAATGAATATTATGATTACTCAAAACAAACAATACGATCTTCATTTTCATTTCGTCACTTCACTTTTGTTATACTATATTTTGCAATTCTTCTTTATGGATTTATCTTACACTCGACTCAATGTAGGAACGATGAAGTAATTCAGCGTTTTCTTTGTAGTCAAAATATTTATCATTCAGAAATGAAATATTGATCATATGAAAAAACTGTCTCATTTTATCTTGTTCCGAAGTAGACTGAAGAAGATTTACCTGCTTCTCTTTTATCAATCCTTTCTTCGAATACTTTTTTTCTTTGTCTGTCTTGTAACAATAATTTATCTTTATTTCCTATTTGAATCAGAATAGTTACAAATAGGTATTAGATGATCTGTAATTATCCCATAAAAGTATATCTTCCTCCTCCATTTGATTTTGATTTGATAGCTGTTGTTGGCTTCGCTTTAAGGTCGAAGTATGCCATACGAATTGTATAATCTACTGTTTAATGAAAATTATAAATCAATGCTCGATGACTAGTTGATAGATCGAAAAAAGAAAGAAAGAAAAACAACATTTATATACGCATTATATGTTGCTGATGAGAATATTTTTTTTTAGTAATTGGTTGTAGAAAATGAAAGGGACTAAATAAGGTAATGATATTGCACAACAACACTGTAATAATAATTTGATTTTTTAAGTATATCGTGGAATTCTTTTACCTCAAGTCCATTGTAGATGTTCTAAACTATGGACAATTTAGTCAAATCGTTCATCAACAGTAGAATGATGAATATTTAATTTTTATGCATAAATGAAGAATACCTCATTGATTCTAACAAAAGTTAAATTTCATACGATATTCGAAAAATAGTTTATACTTGTCAAATACTGAATTGATTTTGAATCTTCTCGAAACCATAATCTCTCGTATTTTCGTCTTTCGTAATTCATACATGGCCATTTGTATAAAATTATCTGTAGTATGTTTTAAATAAAAGCTCTACAACTCGTTTGTTGAATCAGAATTGTGTTCTTTCTCAAACATGCTAAACCATTACGTGCTGTTTTGTTTTACGAAAGTTCGATGAGAATTAAGCCTATCATCGAACATGAAAGAATATACCTTGTGTAATTTTG